GTGCATCTCAAGGCGAATCAGCGAGGCCAAGGACAATTCCAAGGCCAAGAGCATCAGAAAGAGCAGCAGGAGCGGAGACGTCGAAGACGGTACTCTCCCGATGAGCCAGGTGTAAGTGAGACCCGGTCAATGCTACCATGCAATCTTGGAGCACAGACGCAGAGCAGCCCAACGGGTCAACTAACACGAACCCCAGCAACACGCTTCAGGTCGACTCAGATGAGGACTACAACTACGGTACTGAGGGAGCCGAGATTATCGGTCTCACCCTCGAGGGCGGACCCATCATCCACTTCAAGCAGGCCGTGCCCTACACGCTGCCCGACCATACCCAAATCCTCGGCCGCTGCCAAAACGACAAGCCCATCGTCATCTGCCGCAAGGACGGCTTCCAACTCATCTACAACGGAGAGCTGCAAAAGGGCCAGAAGCAGAACGAGTCGTCATCGCAGGGCACTGCCAGCAAGCACGGTTGATCAGGGATGATGGGTGATGACGCTGCGGCGGCTCTTCATCTATCGACGATGATCCTGCTAGCAAGACACACAAGAACATATCTGCCAAGGCGCTTGCCATGGGGACCGGTCCCCTTGAGGTCCGGAATGAGGACGACGATGCTTTCTCTCGGTCATGATGCGGGGGAGCATGCGTCAGTTCCTATCGCTGGGACTCGCACCCCATGGCTTGCAGCCTCCTCCCACTGCGCCGGATTGTCGCCGTCAACACCGCCACCGATAGTGCCGCAAACGGAGTTATGCAACATTGATGAATCAACGATGAGGAATACACACAGCACACAAACATACACCGGTCGGAAGGTTTCGAAAGCCACCCACCCAAACGAATGCAGCCTTGGCCGCTCAGGGTCCCTGCATTGACAAGGGGGGGGGGACATGGTTTCCCTCGACCAAGCCCCAACATGATCTGCGCTGCAGAAGCCTCTAAGCGCCGTCCCGATGCACGGGAGCCCAGCTTGGAGGGAAAACAGACAAGCCCTTGGCTCATTGCAACGCCTGTGATTGAGCACCAATCCAATCCGTTTTCGCTCTCGGACGGGTCCTCTGTCGCGCTCCGTCGAAGGCTTGGTTACACTTTATTCTTCGGCGGCTCGTCGGGCACTCCCTCAAGCCAAGGGGCACTAGTTCCGGCACTCGCAAGCTCACATCTGCGCGGGAGGCGCACGCCGGCGTATGCGGCTCTGGCCTTGCCTCCTTGGAGAGGGTGTGATGCCGAGTATGACGGTTGGTGGTCGACGTCAGATCAATCAACGACCTGCCGATAGGGCTGCTTCTGTTGCTTTTCCTGTTGGTCCGGCCCCCCCCCCCCTTTTCTCCCCGTTTCCCGACTCAGGCGGCCGGGGGCGCAGTGGCCTGTCTGACTGGGGATGTGTGTTCTCTTTTGGGGCATCTCTTTCATTTCCTTCATTTCCACTTTGAGATATCCAACCTTGAAAGGGGGTTATGCTAGGTGGCGTTTGACAGGGATTCCTTCCAGGGAGTCCTCTCCTGGGTATTCCTTTTCTTGTTTCGTTTCTTTCGCTTCCCCTGTTTTTACCTGGAGCGCCGATCGTGGACCATTCTATCTATCTGTCTATCTATCTCGCTACCACTGAGCGCGCCCCCATGCCAGGGCTGCCTTGTCGTTTTCACAGCACATTGGGCAGCAAGCATGTGGGCCCCCTTCATCCATATCTCGTGTTGTAGTAGTAACCCTTCTCAATTCAATTCACTTGTTCCAAAACTCTGCTATTGTTTTCTTGGCGAGCAGGCACGCACAAACATTGTTTGACAGCGAAGCAGTGTGTGCGCGCGCACGGCTGATCCACCCTACCGGATTGACGGTTTCAGCGTCGCAGTTGGACGGGGAGAGCTGTGGGTGTCCCTTTAGAGTTGCCTTTTCCCACATGCGGCACCTCCCCAGTTTTCGTTTCAACGTCGTGCATGGCGGGCTTGTACAGTCCTCTTGAGTTCAAATCAGATTCAGAAAGAAAAAAAAGTTATATCCCCACCATCAGATCCTCAGAGGTCCCAGCCTTCAATGTGCCAAGAGACTTAGAATTGTGTAAAGACCAGACGGAGCGTTCGTCACATCACCACTTTGATGATGTTACCCAGCACATCCTGCCTTCCAGTCACATCCGTGCCACTAGATTGATCGTCGTCGCCCTCATTCCGGCCTTGAGCCTGCGGTGAACCCGCCGCTCCCGTGGGTGGTGCACATCGTGCCAATCTCGCCTCGGCCGGGTTGCATGGCCCGCCCGCTCGTTGCCCCCCAGTCGTCCGTGTCAATGGTCCAGAATCAATGTCTCAGTGGACTAACGCTGCGCCTCGACATCCCAGACATGTCGACATGGCAAGGGAAAAACAAAAAGGTCACCCACAGACAGCAGGTGCATGCGTACGCGTGGACACATTGCTTGGGAGGGGGGGGGGGATGAAAGTGGAATGGGTAAGGGTAAAAGGGGGCGACAGACCCAAGCCTCCGGACACGGGAGAGTGCAGAGAAACATGTCCTTCCGGCGAGATGTCTCGTCGTCGTCTTGCGTGTCTCATCAGGGTCCACCCCCTCGTCGTCACCACCCGTGGGCGAAGACGACATGCTGATTCGATTGATAGGGGGTTTGTTGTGTGTACGTATGTGAGAATGTGTTACATGACGGCAGCGGGCCCATTGCGTGTGTCGATGGTAGATCCGTTCATTGATATCGATACTGCTTTGCCTGATAAATATGTCTCCTTTCTGGTTGGTTGGCTCTCCGTCTCTTACGGCGTCTGTCCGCCTTCGATACCACTGCGCCTCATCCCACCGACGCCCACCTCGCTCGTGAGACAGCCAAGAAATGGTCGGGGCCTACACTTATCGTCCGTCGTCTTACGGACTTTTTTGGGGGAGCTTTCGGCGCCCGATTGATGATGACCAAGAGATATTCGGTGTCCTTTGCTCGTCCCCCCTCTTCCCCTCCGGATCGTCGTGTTGCCGTGGACAGGAGGTGCACATCCCCCCGCTAGCTGCTCCGCCGATGTGCTTCTTCAAGCCCTCCAAAGTCTCCATGTCACCCGTCCATGTCCGATGCCGCTACTCTACACTTTGTTGTTCGGGCCGTCTTACTCTCTAGTTCCGTCCAATTGTCGCATGCCGTCCCTCCTCTTATGCTGTGCCTCCTTTTTTTTCTTGCCTGACGCCCACATGCCCCCGCGTACGCCCTACTTCATGTCATCGTCTTATCATCTCGCCACGTGCAGCACCCTTGCCACCCGCATGTCTCGCTGGTCCAGATCTTCTCCTCTCTCGCCGATGTCGCACTAAGCATCGATCGTGATGTGATGATGGAAGCACAAAACAGCATCACCGCTGCGCAACGCCCGCCTTGCCAATCTGCAAGATCTCGCCGGTCAAGCGGTCATCACTGCGCAGGACCGGCCAAGACGCGCCGTCGGCCTTGACAAAGGTGACCTCGAGCTTCGTGCCAAGGACCTTGAACGACGACTTCGCCGTGTCAATTGGGGCGAACAGCGGCACCTCGGCGCGGTAGCGCTTAGGCGTCGGCGCATCCGAGGTCGGCAGGTCAAGCGTCAGGGTCCTCTCGGCAAAGGAAATCTTGGCATCGTCCTTGCGAATCTTCTTGAGGAAAAAAGAGGCGATAACGGTCGAGGGCGTCTGGTAGAAATCGGTACGGACCGTCTTAAGAATCTCCTCGCCGCCGGTCTCGACGTTGCCGTCCTTGTTCTTGTTGCCGCTACCGACAAAGAGGTGGCGCTCCTTGGTCTTGCAGCCCTCAATTTTCATGAACTGGTCAAACTCGAGGACGCGGCGCTTGCAGCAGCTGTAGCCCTTGCTGCCCTCGTGGAAGATGGGCACGCCCGGGTGGTGGACGCACGACTCGCCGCCGTCGCGGGAGCCGGCGTATTTGGCGCCGCAGGCCTTGCGGCGGCAGACGGCATCGGCGGGGATGGCGAGCGCGGGGTTGTCGTCTTCAGACTCGGGGGCCGGTGGGGGCGGCGCCGGGGTCGCCTGGGCCGGGGCGATGGGCTTGCGGGTGGGCGTCGGGGCCACGGAGGCGGCGGCGAGCTTCTCAACGAGCGCGCTGTTGGCTTGGGGTTCTTTTTGTTCGACTTTGGGGGGCAGGTCGGTCGTCGAGTGTTTGCCCTCGGTGCAGGGTGGGATGGCGAGGAACTCTTCAAAAGTGAGGAACCGGGGCTTACAGCACTTCCAACCTGGGGTCCAAGACGGAGGTGTCAGTGAGCCGGGATGACGGCTCGACCAGTGGCCATAGAGGTTCCCGGATTATTGGCGGACTTACCCTTCTGGCCTTCGTGGAAGACAGGCGGGCCGGGGTGGTAGACGCAGACCTCCTCGGGATCGGTGTAGAGCTTCCCGCAGCCCTGGTGGACGCACTTCTCAGCCATGACTGGAGCTATTTCTCATGCAAGGAATTGACCCTGGTGATAGCGGTGTGGGCGTGTCGTTGATGGCGTATGCTGGCCGTGTTATGAGGGTTGCCAGTGTGTTAGATACAGAGTTGGTGATACACAATGACAGTAAGTAGGTGGGAAATGGCGGGGCAAATGGCTTGAATTGTTCTTCTCCGCGATTCCAGAATTTGGCGGGCAGTTGCACCGCACCTGGCAGCTTCCAGAAGGAAAAACACACGTCACTGGTGAAAGCTCTCTCACCGCCTTCCTGTTGTGGCACAACCACCCCTGGCCGCTCCAGTGCACTGCACGAGCTGCCTGCCTGTTGCCGCCGCACCCCGGACCGCCGCCAGGACCCGCCAGGGGCCGACAGTGGCAGGCTCTGTGATTCCAGGTCATCAGCCCATGTTGAGCTGCGACGTCGAGTCAATCTTTACCTTTCAACTTGGCTGCAACAGCACTCCATCATCCATCATCCAAGAGCAGGGACTTGCTGAAAATCAATGGTTGAGTTAGCCCGCTGATTTTCCTACCCAACCCCCACCTCAACATATCGATTCTCCCTCAGCCACTAGAATCAAGTGCGCCATGTTTCCGACAGTTCGCCTGCTCCATCCCTGCCGCATCACACTCTTCACCCGGGATGGCTGCGGTCTCTGCGTCAGAGCCAAGTCGGCCCTCTCAAACGTTTGGGACCGCCGGCCCTTTGACTTCCACGAGGTCAAGATTACGACCCCCGAGGCAAAACCTTGGAAAGACTTGTACGACTTTGACGTGCCCGTGGTAGGTTTCCTAGTCCTCCTGTGTATGTCTGAATGAGAGGCTGGATGATTTGTTTAGATTCACTTTGCGAAGTCGGGTGCCCCGGACGAGGACCCCAAATTGGTGACAAAGGCCCTCAAGCTCATGCACCGCTTCGATCCAGCCGATGTCGAGGCCAAGATGGACGAGATTGAGCAGACCAGGGCATAATGACAGCCCTGTTCACGTCGCTCATGTAACACTATGTAATACCAAAGTCTGAAGACTTGTGAGGGACACTTGCATGAAGAATTGGGTGGAGTCTCGCAACCAAGTTTATTCGGCCGTTACGTCCACTAGTACATATACCGCGCCTGCATATATGTAATCCCTGGCAGAAAATACACCTGGATAGACCATCAAGTGTTCTGCACCAATTGCTGCATTCTAGGAAGTTGGATTGCTCCCTGTTCGTCTGACGAAGCTCGATGTCGTGTCTTTCTGTCTTTCTCGCTTTCTCTCTCCCCCTCCGTCTTCGGCATCAATGCTCGTGTATGCCGCTGGCAGTCGTCTTTACTGCTGAAATAGCGATCAGTTACTCACAAGTAAAGCACAACACTTGTTGCTCAGCAGAGCCCGGATTGCCCAATCGGTGATTCTCGGTCGCTCCGCCTGGCTGCCGCAATCGAGTCCCTGGTCAGGGTGTTGAGAAGCGGCAGCCATTTTCGTCTGTATATCAACGTCCCTCACCACAGAGGACGACTGATTTTTGGGTTCACGCTCGCTTTTGCCCTTGAACTCGCTCTCCATCGAGGCCCCACCGCTCTCGCAGCAGTAGCCCCAGAAGGGGGGTATCACTTAATCCTGGAGGCAGCTTGAAGGGGGAGAAAAATACTGTAAGCCCAATCACACGGCAACGAAGGATAGGAGTACGGCATACCCAAGGTAATCCTCCTTGATGCTACCAATGGCCCACATCTCGCTGACCTCGGCACGAGTGCCGATAACCTTGACGCGCACATGCGTTCCGGGCTCGATGATGGTGTCATCGTTGTCCGTGAACTGTGGCGGCGTCGCGTTGGGATCCCACTTGATTTCCGAAGGAATCAACTAGCAACATGTCAGTTCTCGCCAGTCCATACGAGCAGTGTGCCGCTTCCCAATGACAACATACGTGAGCAGACACAAAGAGTCGCAGAGGACCAGCCTGGGCAAAGAAGCCCTGATGGTTGACGGAGTAGACGACAGCATCAACCTGAAGTCAAGTCAGAAGTCTTGTTCCCCCAGCACCAAGGCAGGAAACAGGGGAACGCTACCGTCTCGCCCTTGAAGGGCCTCCACACGACCGCACGGTACCCGACGTTGAACTCGGCGAGCCCACTACCAGGCAGAATCTTTCCCTCGGAGATATCAAACGTGTCCATGATAGAGATGACGTAGTAGCTTCCGGCGAAGGTGCCCTCGACATCCTTCAATAGCTTGCTCGTGACCAAGTCGTGCATGTTGCGCCCAAAGTACGAAGGGTGCAGGGTGACCCTGCGCTCCATATTCTTGAGGAAGAACATCTTCGCGATGTGTGTGTGTGTGATGGTGTCGCAGCAAAAGTTCAGCTCCGAGCCGCTCGCAATTGATCGCCTCGAAAAGTCGGTCCCTGTCACCTGCTTTATGCGTTGCGCACCTCTCGAAAAACTGGCCAAGTCGAGCAGTACCGTCGTCTTAAGCTTCGTCAGAGTAGTCGCTACGCGACCTCGTGTGGCTGGGGCGCTTCGCTTTCGCGGCCGAGTGTCAAAGACAGGGAAGAGCAAGCTCTAGCGATGGGATGTTGCTACGCGCCAGTGTCGTGATGGCACAGAGGATACAGTGAAAAGAAAGACGGAAGGAAATCAAAATGCACGAAGGCCTCCTGAGCTGGGGTCGGGGCTACTGAGACGCGCCACACTAACTCCTGGCGACGGGCGGTCAATTGATGGGATCGCGAGCCGTGGGATGGAGAAGTAGATGGAGGAGATAAATCCGACGAGGCTGAGGCCTCACTGGCGCAAGCCCAGGCATCTGGCTAAGGCACAAAGAGAATGCGAGAACAAGATGCAAAGCCACAGGTACCCACAAGCACGCGCCACAAGGGTGGAGGACAAGACGGTAGGCGGAAGGCGGAAGTGGGGGTGGAGTGTGGTGCTGCCGCAGAATACTGTGCAGCACCTGCCATCTGTCAACTGGAGCAGTGCAATACCTACCTCCCTAGGGTAGGCACTTCAGGTGCCACCTTCCCTCGACAGGACCTGGCCTAGGCTGGGCCTCGACAGGGGCGCGCCTGACTCTGTCTGGGGATGGGGAACATGTTGCAGCGAACCAACGGCAGCGCCAGCGCCAGCACCACGAAGCACGAGCACGAGCACGACCATTGTTCAAACTCTTTTCCCCCCTCTCAAAATCCCAATGTTCATCACCATGGTCTGACCTCGACATTATTACATTCTGCATCTACCAGAACTTCCATCTCACCAGACTTCGATTCCTCATCGTTCAGACAGCCGAGGCTCAACCCTCGGTCAAACCGCTGCCTCGAGTCAAACCCCTCGACATTTCAGCCCTCGTATCCCCTGGCCCTGGTCGCGCGCCTCCGAAGCTTCCAGCTAACGCGCATCTCCATCTCCAAAAAGGAGGACCCTGACTACCCCCCTTCCGCATCCTCAGCCGTCCTCATCACCAGCGCTCATCTGTCAATACGAACCCCAGATCACGCGATCACTTGCTCTTCTCAGGCCCCACGGCATCTCCCATCGCTCACTACCTTATCCCGACGACCTGAGACTGTCCACCGTCTCCTAGCCTGAGAGAGCCACCTGTCACTTCGACTGTCTGCGGATGCACTATTCAACATTTGTTGCTCTCGGGTCCAATCACCATCAACCACCATCATGTCCCTCGACTTGGAAAAGCATCTAACCTTTGTAAGTGAAAATCTGCGGGCCCTTTACCGACCAGTGATGGACGAGGCGTCTCATCCCATTCATTCTTGATATTTCAGTTGGGGCTAACTTGCGCAAAGTATGGTGCCTATCACCATAATTCGGTCAACATTGCCATTCACATGTGCTGTGTGCCTCTCATCCTCTACTCAGGTTTCTTGCTGGTGAGTGGCTGACCGACCTCGGTCTAGGTCTAGAGCCGGCCGTACACCGAACCACAAGCTCATCAATTGATCGCAGGCCACCAACACGGGGACTCTCATCCCGCTGCCATCTTGGTTGACCGCTCCGTACCTGGAACTCAACCTCGGCACCCTCGCCGCCATCACCTGGGGTGCGCTTTATGTGCTCCTTGAGCCTGTTGCCGGCACTTTGCTTGCCATCATCGGCCTCGCTGTGACCGCCTATGGCAACTCTCTGAGGATCGAAAACCCGACGACCACGAATCAGGCTGCGCTGATCACCCACGTTGTCTGCTGGATCTTCCAGTTCATCGGCCACGGTGCTTTCGAGAAGCGTGCTCCCGCGCTGCTCGATAATCTTATCCAGGCCATCTTCCTGGCGCCCCTTTTTGTCTGGCTCGAGTTTCTGTTCTTGTTGGGATACCGACAGGAGCTCAAGGCTCGCGTCGACAAGGCCGTCGAGAAGGAGATTGCCAAGTTCAAAGCCGCTCAGGCTGTTGATGCCAAGAGCGGCAAGGCCCAGTAAGCAAGTGTCGGTGACGATCTTGCCACAGCTAGCCAGCCAAGCGATGGGACTTGCCGACAATGCCAACCTCCATTCCATGTTCCATCTCTTCGGCTCCCCCAAATTATCGAGAGATCTACGTCATCTCACCAAACGCCCTGAGCGAGTCGAGTAATCAATCGCCCGTAATATACTCAGATCCTTGACATCGACTTGCTGGGTAAATCACGAAGGAGCGTTACATCCCCTGCTGCGAATTCTCCGTCAGCACCATCGCGGCATTGTGTTTTGTGGAGATTGTGAGCCTTTGCATTTTTGTATAGATTTGTGTATGATGGAGGTTGCCCCATGGTTTCCTGCCCTCACTAAAACAATCACCCATTGTCTGTTTTTGTTCCTGCACGCCTTCTCGCTGTCTGACATCCAAGGCACTTCAGTTGTATGGCCACACACCTGATAGTAAACAAAGAACGAAACGCGGGATTCAACACAAAGAAACCACAGTGACTCAAAGAGAAACCCGTATCGATTACCTGCGTTGATTCTTCTTCTTCAGCAGATGGTTTCTTGTACCTCTCCTGGGCGTTTCATTTGTCAGGTCCACGTCGTAAAGTCGTTGTTTCTGAGAATGTTGCTGCTCGATACATAGTGCATCGGCTGAGACGAACGACTCTGAGTCTGAATCCGGGTCTGACGCTTTCGAGGAACCGCCGCGCAACGTCTCGCCCAGCATACCGCTCTTCCATGACCTGTTGCGAGACGTGCCCTGAGCCTGCTTTTTGCGCGGTCGACGGGTATTTGGCGGCGGAGCTATGTTGAGCCACGGTCCTTGGGCCGTGGCCGGATTTGTACCGCGAGGATGTCCAATGCTCGACTGAGGGTCCGCTTTGGATGGTATCTGTAAGGTCTGCGGCATCTCCACATAGCATGAATCCTTTGCGGGTGTCTTGTGGGACATTCGAACCTGCTCCGCGCCTCTCTGCGAGGTTGCGACCCTCTGGCTCTGCGTACGAGTCTCGAAACCCTGCGACGACTCTGACTGCTCCAGCGAGCGAGAAGGCACCTGTAAAGGTCGGGGCGGCAGCGGCTTGTTGATGTCCATCGGATGACCGGGCTGTTCGGGCACTACCTCGAACCTCATTGCCCTTTGGTCCGAATGGATTCGTCGGATCCTCTCTTGTTCTGCTAGCGTGAAGCGGCTGCGCTTGTCTGTCGGGCGTGACGAGTACTGCGTCTCCATCGCTTCACCAGGATACCTCTGCTCAAGGACGCGCCTCTCGGCGTAGGTAAGGTGGGTGCCCTCGGGGATGTGCATGGGCTGCTGACGCTCGAAGGGACGACGATCGGGACAGTAGGGGCATGGATTGGTAGTGGACATGTAGAGACGTACAGCAGTGCAGGGCTTGCTAGGTCCGTCGCCGAAGAAACAGCTGACGAAAGGATAAAAACATTTGGTTTTCTGACGCCAGGTGGAGGTGCAGGACACGGGGTAGGATGAAGTGTGGCCACAAGGGCGATGGGTTGCAACATGGACACACATAGAATCAGGTTAGGATGTGAGACTTTCCTGTTGGTTTGGGGATGAGACTTCTTTGTGACCAGATAATTTCTTGGATGATGCTGGAATTCGGTGCCAGGTTGAGACAAATGATGGCGTTGGTAATGGCGTTTCTTTCTACTCAAGGTAACCTTCGTCTCGTGAAAGACAAGAGTCGATGTTGGGCAAGCGATATATACCATCGCGAGTTTCTCGCGTACATCTCCGAACAAACAGGCTGTTACTGGAAAGCCCTGATGTTCCAGAAGACGGCTTTTCTTGAAGCCGCACAGAAGATCTGTGGTTTGGAATACAACATTGCGCTATCATCCCGATGGACCGAGGACAGCACAATGAACGTGTCTTGTCTGCTGCTTTCAACGCTACGGCAGTGCTGAACAGCTCATCTGATAAGGCCATCCATCCATGACTGCGTCTGGCGGGTAGTTCAATCTCTCACGTGTGGCTCTGATAGCTGCCACGTCTGTGACTTCTTCACCTGACAGCGCTCGAGACAGGATTTCTTTACCCTGTCGACAAGATCTGACTGGCAACTAAAGATGGAAACTAACCGCTGATGCGCTGTTGCTGGTGATAACTGCGCCCCAGGTAAAAGTTCCACACCCCCTGAAACAGGATCATCATCGCACGTACGTTGCCGACAATCGCCCAGGACGTAGCCTTTTGTCGCCACCGTGACACCAGAGAACCAGTCTTCACAAGCCCAAGCATATTGTCAAGCCCGTATTCCGGTGCTCATCAAACCAAGTTCAAGTTTACATCTATACATACATCGAGCCAAAGCTCTACGTCTCAGCCAAGCATCGATTCAGATTGACGCCTCGCTAATATCCTGTCTGATGCCATGAGCACCTGCCAGCTGGGCCATTTCCGACCTGAGCAGTCTCATCATCGCCACGGATCCTCGAGCCCAGACCAACCGCTTTGTAATGTCATATCATGCAAAGAGAGAACCTATTCTTGGTATGGCAATCTTACCCAGGTCCCAGCCGTCAAAGACTCCCCGACCGGCCGCGGCGCCATTCTTTTCCAAGTTGCTTCTCAGGTTTCTAGCACCAGTGCGAGTAGTACCGCGAAGTTGAGTCGCCAACTGATAGGCTGGTCATATTCCAACCAGGTCGAAAAAGGCACATGGCTCGTTTGACGTGTTCGACGAGAATCTCGCTGGCGATGAGGATCTTAGCTTGCAGCCAAAGTGTACTAGACACTCCGTGGGCACCAACTCCTTTCTCGGTGGCGAGGCAAGGTCACTCCTCTCGCGAGGTACCGGAGGTCGACAGTTTTATCTATGTCCGATTAGCAAAAGAGGGTCGTTTCGTACTCATTGAATCCAGAGATCAGCGGGTTAATCAACGACCAGAGTGAGAGCAGCTACGTAGGAACATATCTCTAGCTACCGACCCGGGTCGACAGCTCCGTATAAGTCATCGCCGCTCCCTAGCTGAGCCAATTGGAGAGGGTCTAGAGTAGACCATCAGACTGAGATATGTTCATGGTATTTACACAGATGGCCTCGAAGTCGGCATGACAGGAGTACATCGGGGCCTGTGTATATCCCGAGCACATCCATATAATACTGAACGAGACTGGAAGAAGTAGAGGCCGCAGCCGAGAAAAGATACCTTCTCACACAAGTTGCTATGCACGCGCAAACCATCAGAAGCACTCCTCCCAAAACATCACATCTCAAGCCTGCCGCCGCCTGCATGATACCGAGTATAACCCATTTTTAAGGCCTGGTGATAACTCGAAAAGGGCAGACGAAATCAAAACAGAGAAAATGCGATGTCAAAAAGGATTTCTCCTTTGCCGTGTGCCGGCGTCGAACCCCCAAGTCCCTCCACGCGCTTTCGAACTTGCGCGCCCTCACATGTAGAGGCATGTGTTTACGGGTATTTATTAAGCACCTCTATAACCACCAGGCCATGCGTCACGGCCCGGTGGTTGTTGGTGAATGGCACTTCAGGGTTGCCTATGTAGCTTGTGACGCTGTAGCCTAGGCAGTATGGCAGGAAAGAGCGGTTGCCAGGCAGCCAGCCGACTTGGTGCTGGCTGAGGCTCCTCAGCAACCACCACATCATCTTGGCCTATGCATGGGCGCAATTCATGCGGATTGGGATATGAACACCCAACTTGCACGCTGCCAATGTCTCTGCTCTGCTTCAAAGACTGGCATGAGCTTGTGCCGAATTCCCTCCACTTGGGTCGCTCGAAATATGCACCAGACCCTGATCGTCCGCAACCCTGATGATCCGGAACAGAACAAGGTATTGTCATGTGGACCGTTAATCCCACGCACCAGGGCACGCTCATGATGCATCTGAAATCAAAAGCACCCGCTGCTGTGGAAGGTCGAAGTGGTATCCGCAAGCTGGCTGTCTCGGGACGACCCATCGATGTCTCACCCCGAGGCACGTATCGTGGACCAAAGGCTAGCAAATCTCACAGTGCCGCAAGGGAACTTCATGGGCACCCATCCAACGGCGGGGTTTTTTGTGTGACATTCCAAATATACTCCTCTAGTCGATCGGCGAGATGCAGGTGCTTCCACATTCCGGGAAGACACCGGAGACACCGGAGACACCGGAGGAAGCTCTGCAGTGATGTCCACAACTCGCGGGGCACGATGCCGGGGAGAAGCCGTGGCTTAAGGGAGATGAAGGACCCTTGGAAACCCGACCCCACGCTCGGATGCCCACAACGGTCAATAGTGCTGGGAAGATTCCTGAGCCTCATCTGGGACTGTGTCACAGGCAGCTGTACCGGTGCCGGTGCCTGATGCAGGGACAATCTTCCAGCGAGCCCCTACCCAGGAGGCCATCTGTGCGTGGCATCGGTCCGCAGCTGCCCAGGCTTCGCGATATGGCTGCTCCAGGGTCCTGCCGAGAGACAGGCCGACAATGTGGGAAACGTTCACCAACAATGAGGAGCCATTCAGAGTTCTAGGAGATTGTTTTGTGAAGCTCAAAGTCGATATCGTGAGGCAACCGTAGTATAAAGACGCAGGTTGTCAGTCCGTTGATGGAAGAAGTAGTCCTCAGCACTCAGCAACTCACACGATATCACACACACTCTCTCACCACACTCTCTAACAACCCGTCTCACTTCTACCGTTCACTCTTTTTTGGACATCTTCTACCCACTCACCTTCCACACTCACTTACAAAACCCGAAACCCACTGTCAAAATGAAGGCCTCTACTGCTACCCTCGCCCTTAGCGCCCTCGTTGGCAGCTCCTACGCCAAGCCCATGAACATGGACGCGGCCAACGGCATGGAGTCGACCAACAACATGATGAGCAAGGGCGTGAACATGGACAAGACGGTCATTGCCCGCGCCAACAGTGCCATCAACATGGGGCTCGAGCAGCAGATGGGCGCGATGCTGCCCACCGGCGAGGCCATCACGGTCAAGCCCACGCTCAGCCTCGCCCGCCGCCAGGCCGACGCGGTTCTCGGCGGCCTCGAGGGCATCCTCAACGACCTCCAGCTCTCGCAGCGCGAGATCGACGCCCTCATCGAGTCGGGCGGCGGCTCGGTCGACGTCCAGCGCCTCACGGGCCTCCTCAGCGGCGTCCAGGGCACCCTCGGGGGCCTCACCGGTGTTGTCAACCCCGGCACCCGCGGCTTTTCGCTCGAGCTCGCCGACGTCACAGGCTCGACCGACTTCATCGGCCAGATCATCTCGACTGTGTCGGGCATCCTGTCATCGATCTTTGGCCTTGCGTCTGGCGGTAAGGCCGGTGGCGCCCTCGGCAGCCTCGGCGGCGTACTTGGTGGCAAGGCCGGTGGTCCCCTCGACGGCATTCTGGGAACCGTCTTTAGTCTTCTCGGCGGTGGCGCCGGCGCCGGTGGGGCTAGTAATGTCGGCGGTAACCTCCTCACTGGCCTCCTCGGTGGTCTTCTTGGAGGTGGCTCTGACGGTGCCGATGGTGCCCTCAACGGCGTCACTGGCACCCTCGGTGGCGTCACTGGCGGGCTCACCGGAGCCGGTGGTGGTGCGGGTGCTGGCGGTGCTCTCAACGGTATCACTGGTACCCTCGGTGGCCTTACTGGCGGCCTCACTGGTGCAGCTGGTGCCGGTGCCAGCGGTGCTCTCGACGGCGTCACGAGCTCCCTCGATGGTGTGACTGGCACCCTCGGCGACTTGACCAACGGTGTTGCTGGTACTCTCGGCGGCATCACCAACGGTCTGACTGGTGCCCTGGGTGGCCTCACGGGCGGTCTCGGTGGCCTCACCAACGGCCTGACTAGCACCGTCGGCGGCGTTGCTGGCGGTGCTACCAAGGCCGCGACTGGCGCTGCCGGCTCCGTCATGGTGGGCGGCACCCGCATGTGCGCCTGCTAAGTGGTTTGCGAGCCTTGGGAGCAGGCATCGTTTCCGGAGGTCAGAATACAAAATTGGTGATTTGGCATGGACTGACGGATTATGAGGATACTGTCATCTAGACGATACCCGCGCATGTTGATTTCTTTTCCTCATTTTCCTTACTTTTCTTTTGTCACGAGTTTGCCGCATCTTGCATTGCGAGTAGAAGAGAAGAGAATGGAATGTTGACTGCTACAGAAGTGCCTGTACTGTCGTGAAGGTCGATTTGATGATGATCTGCTATACGTCGACATCTCAGCCAAGGAACCTGATGCGTCGTCGATGGCTGGAGATGAGGCTATTGATGGAGGTCGTCGATGGCCGGCGAGGTTGACAAGCCGAGCCGATCGTGATGCATCTGGCCAAGTGGGGCAGGACTCCCTTAGATGCAAGATCGTGCATTGCCGCGGGCCCCACAGATCGCTCAATGACGATTATGACTTAACAGGGCGCTCCTTCTGCTGAGGCAGCAGCTCCCCCCCCAGTTCTGAGGCAGCAGCGGCCGGGCTAGCAGCCGAGTGGGGCCACTAGACCACTGAGACCACTGAGACCATGGAGCCACTGGAGCCGCTGGAGCCACAGGGGGGTCCAAGGGTCCAGCGATGACAGCTTCAACTCGGCCCATGACCTCACCTTCCATTCGCAACCTCAGCACAGCACCTCGATACACGGCCGCAACCGCATCCATTCGCTTCGCCCGATGCCCAACAGCACTCCCGGCCCAGACAATCTCATACCATCGCGACCCTAGTGCATCTGCTCCCTCAAACCCACAGGGAACCCATTTGATAGACTTTGCCATGCCCACGACCGGCGATCAGGTCCACATCCAGCCTGTTGACCCCTTTTTGTACCGTCATTCAACGGGACGGCGATGGGCATGCCCCTATCAACATGACCACAATCGAACGCCCCGGCCGTCGAGGCTCGAGTGCCTCCCCCCATTGACCCCTTTCCGCCCCGTGACCTGGGTTTGTCTCGATGCGTGCTAAGGTGGGAGAAGGCCAGAGACGAGCCCCCCCCCCCCCCCCCTCGCCCATGTCCGTCTTCCCCGACTCGCGCGCGGGGTACGCATCATCGACGACACTCAAGCTTTTCCCCATCCGCTCCCCGGGCGCCATCCGGCGGATCACCCCATTGGTGAAGTCATCGACTTGGACATGATATGTGTGTGTGTCGCCTGGTGTCAAGCCAGCTCTTCTCAGCTTAGTGGTCGCGTGTAAATTCCCAACCCGTGCTTGTTCATTGGGTCGCTGCGCATCACTCGCTGCCCCCGCTCCCTTAGGTCGTTCGTCAGTGATGTGCCATTGACCGAGTTCGTCTGGGTCTCTTTGACCCCTCATGAGCTGCCATTGTGCCTATATATCCAGTGCTCCCTTGGCTTTCTTCTCACAGTCTATTCATCACATCCTGACACACCACATCATAATAACACGTCGAACCCTCAGCAATCATCCACCCCTTGAAGTTACAACGCCCAAAAACATCACCATGGACTCCTCCAAGCCCGCCGACCAGCTCAGCAGCTCCCCCACCGGCCGCAGACGCAGCTCCAACACCCTCTTCGCCGGCCTCGTCGACCAGAAGCGCGGCACCCAAGGCCAGGCTCGTCGTCAGAGCCTCCACGACCAGCAGGTCGCACCCGGCATGTTTGGCAAGATGTGGCGCAAGTATGACACTACCCAGGCACACCCAATTTGATACCTCGACACGTGTTGACTAACACGCCCTTCCAGTTTCACCGCTGGCCCTGCGTCGCCCCCCAAATAAAGCACCAGCATGCACAGAAATATTCAAACCACGACATCATCAATGACTTATGAGAGTTGGAGCGTTTGTGGAAAAGCGCGACCAGATTGTACATCACAGGCTTCCGAGCGGAGCATCCGTGTATGATAGACGTTGAGCGGCCGTTTAATCGGTTGAAACCTAATGATACCTGTTGTGAACTATCAACATAAACACATGGCAATACACGCCTTACGTCAACGCATGTGCAGTCGACGGGATGTCGTCTCAATGGTGAATCACTGTGGTCGACAGAGAATTGGACACGTGGTGATCGTACTTTCAAAATCGATTTCTATCGACTCGCAGAGTCAGACATTACAACCACACACAATTCAGACTAGTATGGGGCAAAGTCAGGCTTGAATTTCGCTGTCCAGCTAGTTCGGCAAGAGAATCATCGTCGGCATCTCACTTGAACGGAATCCCCCACCTGTGTACCCCCCTTGACAAGTAGTCGGGAGACGCCCCGAAACCTGATGGTCGAGCGCAAGAGCTTAGGTCCGGACGATGCAATCCCACCGACCGTCCCAGGAGACGTGACCAGCCCATCGCTCTTAGAAGCACACGCTTCCACCGTCCAAACGTTTGGTCCACCCATTTTGGCGCCCTTAGGGCGGTGATGTCCGCAGGTGGCCCAGGTCCTCCTCGGCCTAGTCCGAGATGCTGGCTCCGGAGCAAAGTAGCCTCTGCCGCGGCTGGCAAGTGGTCCGCTGGTCGTGGACTTGCCCACGGGACGGCCAGCTGACGACACGCCTCCGGCATACTGCTCTTACTATCACGCTTGTCTCCTTCAGAAAGAACCCCGCCTGGCGGCACTGACGAGGATTTACGCCTCTACCGCAGAGTGACCTCGCCGCCGCCGCAACAGATCCGCTGCTGCGCCGGTTGTTATTCTCGACCAGTTTCGACAGTCATCACTGCGCACCACGACTTTTTCTCACCAGCTGCTCGTAATACGAACAGGAGGCATTCGACCGTAAGGGCTTTTAGCTCTAACGTCATCATATCGTGAATCGTCTCGTCGTACTGAGTCGTGTCCACTGGGCAGTTTCCCCGTCATGCCCAGGACTAGCGCGCGAAGGTATGTACTGATCGTTCACTCGTGATGGTCCATCCTGTAGAGACAAGTCAGCAAAGTGTGTAACAGATATGGAGCCCCACGGCGGAAGCATCTTACTCTCTGTATGATCGTCATCATGGCGGATCCGATAGAACCGAAAAGCATGGCAACGCTTCGTTACACAGCTGGCATCTGTCGCCATACTGCTCATTGTTGCTTCGATCGAACATGAAGACAACATGCCGGGCCTTTTAACGTCCTGCCCAGGACAACACCAAGCGGGCTCTCATTGCCGTGCTGGTCATCGTTGCTACACTTGCGCATGTAAGCAACGGCGTGGGCCTTTTAATGTCATACCCAGGACAATTGGGTGGTTCCCACTGCCAGCCTGCTCATGCCTGCTTACTCTGGCAACACAATAATGCTTAAGCAAAGTCCCGTTTCAGGTCCTGCCTAGGCATACAGCTAATTTGCCGTGTATGTGTTGAGGTTAGCGTTCCTGATCGTTGTTCGGACGGCCTAGTTCTACCAGTGCACGCTCTGAGCCGATTGTCGACATCATGATTTGGATACGAATCGAGAACCACGCATTGCCTCGACGTCGTTGGTTAGCGCGAATATGTGACGCACCAGCTGTCGATGGGGGAAACGCATCATTGGATGACGGTCAAATGCGTATTGTTGACCAGACAGACGGATGGCGAAGCAAAGCTGAGCTCGAGGTGGAGAGCTTCAGACTGGAGTAAGCTTCGCGCACGGATGTCCCCGTTTCACCTGACACATACTGTATCGGAAAAGACAAGGGCACTGTACGTGTTGAGAGATGCTCGTAAGGTCGTCGGCCATCTCTTGGCAAAATCCAAGGCTGGTGGCTCAAGTGCTGTCATCCGTTTGTTCTGACAAGGTCCTTTCCTCAACGCACGGGGGCATTGGGCTCGACCGTGTCGCCCACCCGGATGGTTGGATATTGAGCTTCCTTCGTGGCATAGCCTGGTCGACTGTCGTGACGCATGTGCGTTCCGAAAAAAACCTTACCGTCGAAGCGTCGGGTTTTGGCCAAAGTTAGAAATGGCTCTTGATGTTTTGCGCCACTTTTTTGGTCGACGCAGACCATTTGACACCGACGACAAGAGCCCATCAGTTGGAAGTTATGGCGACCTATCTTGACGTTGGCCCAAGCGTCTTCGGCGTACGGCAGAGGTGCATCGTTGTCGTTGGCTGGGCCGACAACAACGTTGCCCCTGAAGGCGGAGATGGGAACCGGGGCGTCCCCCTTGGCCATGATAACATGATTGAGTGCGCGGAGACTGGCTGTGTTCACCAACAAGATTGGACTCTCATTTGCGAGGAGAATCTTGCTTCCCTGCTGTTCAGAATCCGAGTCCGGCGGAGATGGCAGGTCTGGAAATGATCCTGGTATCAGGCTCGTTGCTGGCTTTCCGAATCTTTGGTGCTTCTGAATTTGTGCCTTTGACTGGCGCATACCCCGTCCTCGACCGCCTGCTGGGAACCGAGCGAGCACACAAGGCACGCCTAGAACATCGGAGAAGAAGGCATTGACCTCTGGAAGAGCGCATTTCTGGGCGGATATTTGATCACCGCAAACTCGAGATACAAGCATAGGGTCGGAACCTTGCGTATCCAGAACCGTTGGGTCCGCTGACAACGGCACCGAAACCTCGCTTGGCCCATCTGTGCGTACTGTGCCGCAGCATGTGACACGAAGAAGGCCTTGCTCAAAGTCCAGGACTGGCCGAATGAGAGCCATTTGAGGATATCGTTTCTGGCTCAATGCTTGTCCCGTCCCAGAGTGAACCAGACACCATTCCCTGTCCCAAGCTAGACCCTCTGGTTTCACTTCCCAATCTATACCATGCGGCACCGAATAGGCGGCACAGCTTTTGATGGGAAAGACAGACAAGGCCTGGACACGCAACCGTGCGGTGTCCGGGACAAACTCCATGGTGGTAGTGGTCGGGATTGTGGCAAGATACTCCGTCTCTCTGTAGAATTCGACAATGAAGTCAACGAAGCTTTTGACGTCCTGCATTATGCTCATCGCGCCCAGGCTGGCTCGGATCACACCCGTCGGTTTTCCGGCGATGATGTCTTGATCCGTACCGCAACGAAAGCCAGCTGAGAAGTTTCTCCGAACCTCCCAAGGCTCAAGCTTGAGAGCCGCGGCGATACCACCTGGGCTGCACACACCACCGGTTCTAACATGAAATTTCTGAAGCGTAGCAAGCTTCTCAAATTCATTTAAGCTGATCCATGCACCTGCGGCGTTGAGCAGATTGAAGGCTATCACTGGCCCACGCTCAGCGACAAGTTCGGCGTTAAGGTCGTTGTCTTCACCGTACAGGACACAGACTGGCTCGCCATTAGCATGCCTGAGAGCAGACAGTCCTTTGGCCAGATGCTGGCGCAAATACGCTGTGTGAGCAGCGACGTGCGCCATAGTCCCAAAAAGCACCTTGTGGCTGTGAAGAGCAGCATCGAGCGCAATGATGCTGTGAAACGGCAGTGTTCCGTCCTCTAGTCTTTCGTGAAGAAATTGGCTCTTCGAAGCATGCCACTTCTCTTTCCCACATACGACAGTGTCCACAGTGCCGCCACCAAAATATCGTCTCGAGTTGAAGACTGGCTGCGCTTGGCGTCGGACAATCAGAGCCCCCAAATCGGGGAAGCCGAAAATCTTGTAGAGACTAAGGACGGTGAAGTCAGGCGAAGTTTCAGAGTCGCCGAGATCGAGTGGTGAGGTCGTTACAAGAGATGAGGCGTCGAGCAGAGTATATAGGGCCCTCGATGGATGCACCGCCTTTCTCATCTCCGATGACCACGAAACTGGGTATCGTCGCCCGTCCATATGCGACTGAGCGGTATGGGCGAATAAGATTGTTGAGTCTGAAGCAACTAGGCTGAGATTGAGTGTGTGCCCAGCGAGACATTTGTTGATGTGATCGTTATCGACACAAATACTCTCGACGGCTTCCTCACGAACGCCAACGAGACTAGTATGGCAAGCCTGATGATATGCGTATGAGAATCCCGCGGGCAGAATGCGAAAGGCTTCAAGCACAAGTTTGACGCCTGCCGTAGCATTGGCAACGAAGATCAAGTCGAACTCGGAAGGATCCGCATTGAAGAAGTTAAGAAGTCGCAAACGGATGTCTTCGATACGAGACGTAGTGTACTGCGAAGGCAGAGAGCCAGAGTGAGGATTGCCAAGTAAATTAGACATCATCTCGGCAGTGAACATGTCCATCATAGACTTGGAGTAAACCGTCGTTCCAGCATGGTCGAGATATACGGAGTCTGTGGCGAGTCAGCCCTGTCAGATTTTCCGGACGAGCGAACCAGCAAACCTTTGAGCATGGGATATTCGCGATCTCTGAAGCCCTCCACCAAGGCATTATACGAGGGTTCTGCCATATCGAAGTCGGGTCATGCAACACTATCTCATGCCACATACACTCGGGGTGCGAGGTTGGTGGGTCGGCGTTGCAGCCGAGAAGCCAGAGTAGGTGAGGGGAAGAGATGGACAGGCGGCCTGACTGTTACGCCCACGATTCAAAAGAGTGAGGGAGGAAGAGATGCCAACGAGGGCACATGGAGGCAAGGTCATGATGGGGCCGACGACAAGTTGATAAGCCGAAGAGCCTCATCTCCAATTGCGGGTACCATCCTGTCTAGATAGTCACGGCGGAGGCCGGCGTTTGGTTTGGGGGAAGACGAGTGATCGGGCACCTCCGCACAAAGCACTAATTGTTAGCCGTTCTCGCCTGTCTACTGGCTGACACTGCCCTTGGCTGGCATCATCTGGCCAGACTTGCCACCAAGTAGTCACGAAAAAGGTGGGACCTCAGACGCGTGCACGTCCCTTGAGAAGCACGTGCAGCCGTCGACTCCCTCACGTCGT